AAATAGAAATAATGTTGGTGATCCTGACTGACCTGAAACAGGAAAAGTTTAGTCACATTGCAACTGATTTTAATATTCATATGTTGAGGTGAATGAAGAGTACTTAAACATATCTTTTTTCTTCTTCTTTTTACTTTTAGAAGCGTCACAGCTCTGTACTTTGTGATTTGATCAAAGGATCTGTGCAAGACCTGCATGCTGTCATCAGCAGTTCTCTGACCTGTTGAGTGAGTGACGCAGCCACGAGGGAAGAGAGAGACGTTGAAAAGGCCAGTTGTGGTTGCATCAGTCTTTAACCTCCCTCGTGGGCATCAATAATTAATGAGAGAGTTGATCTGGTGATGCAAAGTTTGCGAGCATGAGCACAAATAATTGACTATTACTGGCTTTCACTGGAAAATGTCAGCAAGAGTAAGAAACTACATCTGTGCCAACAGCAACAGGTTAACATGGCCACAATGACACATGCTGATTTTTAGCATGCTAGACCTAGATAATAGAGAACAGCAGAGGCTGAAGCAGGAGTCATTAGTTCTGAAGGAACTTAGTCATAAACCAAGATAAAGTTTATTGTTATGGGGGTCATGAGTTTGGCAATTCACCCAGCGGTGCTGACCCACAAACATCGATAGAAAAAGTCAGGGGAACGCCAAAGTGAGAAGGATTCATCTTCTGGAAACCATGAATTTCTACTAAATATTCCCATAGAAGTGAAGTTTTTGACACGTTGCCAACACCAGACTAAAAAGTCCGAAGATTGCCAAAGTCAGTGCAGTGGAGCCTCTGGTAGCTATAAATATCTGTACAGAATTCCACAGCAATCCATCTGATGCTTGTTGAGATGTTTTTGTCTGGATCCACAGAGCTACGCCGCAAGCATGGCTAAAAATAAAAGCATGAAAATTGGTTTTTAAAACAAATGATTGACCGCTGACAGTTTCTCATGTCAGCTCCGGCCTTCACAATGCTGCCGAAACATGAGTAGACGGAGCTTTATCATAACCAGGCCTCGATAAACTTGCTAATAAAGACACCATGAGTGTCAGTGTGCAGGAATTCCCATATTCTGTCGAGATGCATGTGTGCATGAATGGATGTGCACGCAACCATAAGTGTGTCGTGTAATTTAGGGCAGCAGGACACTCATGGTTGTGAATGAGGATTGGCTGACGACGGGTGTGTGGGTAAGATAATTTTTATCAGAGGCCTACAAACGAAGCATAAAAGCCTACTGATCAGTCAAGCAGCAGTTTTAAAATATAAATATTACACATATTGTATTCAGAGCAGGGCTGTCCGTTGGAGTGTGGTTTCTCAGACACTGCAGAAACGTTGCTTATCTGCTGTAAATCTCTCCCACTGAGCAGCAGCCAACATGTGAGTCATTTTTGGGGGCTTTCACATGACTTTCCATCAAATATTTTTGTGCCTCTTACATCTTTATGACAGCGCATCTGCCCCCACAGCTACACCAGCGTGGCAGTGCGCGGCTCTTATATAAGATGTTAGCACTGTTTCACACGTCCACACAAACACACGAGAGTGCGGACATTGTTTGCCGCTCTGCATGGCCCAGAAAGAGACACAATGTGAGTGCTGAGCTCGTCTGAATGAGGCCCTGACCCGGGCTTACACCTGTGGACTCTGCACATGAGATAAGATTAGATCCTTTTCCTGGGATGCAGGTACAAATATCCATTCATATGCCTCAGCTGAGCTACAACTGTGCGATTACACAAGATGAAAAGCGAGATAAATCAGAGCGTCTCGTTATATGTGTACACTTTAGTGCAGATTTGACTGGTCGGGCTCTAAATCCAGCTTTCAACATCCTGTATCGTCACACTGATGTCAGTTGCACAAAGTGATCAATAGTAACCCGGTTACTCATGCCAACTGGCACAAAATCAAGCAATACTTCACTGCTACTAATGCAATAGAACTTATCTCCTCACTGTTCTGTCTGTGGAGTCCCCGGCCATATAGCTTTATTGACTCTAATAGCTGATATCCGGAGAGCGGGCTGAGATGAAGATGTACAGGTTTAGCTTCACAGAGTCACAGAGAAGCCGTCTGAACTTTCAGGAGCTTGTGTGTTCTATCTGTTCTTTATGGCAGATAAGCAAACAGCAGTAAAGATTATCTGAAGCTGTGCGTGCATCCAAGTCCAGTCAGATACAGATGCAGGACAAAAATAGCAGGAATAGAAGGAATTGTCTAAGCTGCAAACATATATGGATGCAGGGTTTGATCCAGTACAGCTACAGGAATCAGAATAATCCCAGTCACCCTCAATCAATTAAACATAATAATGTCATTTGTAGCTCATTTGTAATAAAGATTTGTGCAATTTTGCAATTACATTTAGTTCTTTTTTCATCCAAATGGACTTTGCATCCGTAATTTATTAGGAAACCTGCAGATTTCAACATGCAGACAAGCTCTTCTCTTCCATTCAGACACTCAAATTGGAACATGCGTTTCATTTCTCAACTAGAAATCAGTCAAATCAAGGAAGGTGTACTTATATACCACTTTCAAAACAGTTGATCCAAGGTGCTTATATATAATGATATAAAACCAAAAAAATGACAAAATCACCAGACTTATTTAAACATTAAGGACAAAATAATAGAGAAAAAAAATCAACAAATCCAATGTTCTGCAGCCCTCTAACTCCACTCCAGATAATCCACAGAACACACTGTGAGCAAACTCTCACTGGGCCTATTTTCTTGGCATTAAGCAGTCAAAACTATTGACCGTGCAGCCTCCTCCGCGCTTACACTGTAAAATGCTGTATTATAATGAAGGCAGAAATCCTCAGAGAATTTATATTTATATGTTCTGTTTTTGGATAAAATGAGAAAATGTACAGATTTTGCTATCAGCACAGACAAAATCAGCATCAGCTTATATTACAGCAGCATTGTCTGATGAGTAATTATTAAGAAGCTTTTACAACTCTTTGGATTACTTACAGTTTTTGTGTAATGATTTTTTTGTGTGTGTGCTATTGTGCTGCTGCAGTAGCACTGGTTTATTGTGTTTGTGCACCAAGCAACAAACATGTTCTTTACCCAA